GAAGCTAACTGGGTAAAGCTAGAAAAAATAATGGATTACACCTTATTGAGGACAAAGATTAGCTCTCATACTTCTTTACCTCTCACCTCATCAACATCATCTAGAAACATCTTTATAGATTAGGGCATCCTTTTCAAAAATTCAATTTATTCTTCTCTTTTCATAAATACAAACATTGAATACTTCAACATAAAACTTGTGAAATTATTATACATGATTGTGTTTCATTTCTTCAAAGTAAAAATAGATCGTCTAGCCCTTTTGTATTGATTCATTCTGATATATAAAGACACTATGGAATCCCTAACTACTCTAGAGCAACTAATTTTATCACGTTTATTAATGTTACACTCAAATAATTTGGATATATTTTAATCAAACAAAAATCTGATACTAGCACTATACTCCCTATATTTATTAGAGGTTTTTAGAATTTTCTGCTAAATGATAATACTCGTGCTTATTTTAATCACATTAGCATCCTTTAAGCTTTGCTTTGACACTCAACAATAAAAAGGACTAGCAAGAAAAAAAAATTGATGCCTTTGGAGGTGACTAGGGAAAATCTCCACAATCAAATGTCAAAACAGTCTTAGGGAGAAGCTATTCTAATAATGACCTATTTAATGATTAAAACGCTCTTCAAAGCAATTGATTCCAAAAATTCACTAAATTATTTGGTAGAATTCTTTCCTATAACAACTTCTCAAAAATCCCTCTTAAATGTTCTGAATGCATTGTTTATGTTCATTCATATCCATCAATAATATAAAAGAAAATTTAAATCAAGAGCTCTCAAGTGCGTATTCATTGGATATTTTGCTACAAAAATGCAGTACAAATGCATAGGGTTAATGAACCAACGCATTGATAAGCAACTCAAACTCGACTTGATTAATATTTGATCATGTTTATTTAAATTAATAAATAAACAAGCTTGATCGTCTTTTAAAAGCTAGAAAGTTAAATGAACTAAGCATGAACTTGGTCTAACATGTTTATTTACATTCACGAACAAACTTGCTAGTAATTCAACTAGTAATTTGTTAAATTCTTAATATTAAGATCAATGATAACTCGTATCATATATGATATTTTGTTTAAATAAAATTTGATTAATTATTACTTATAAAATAATAGATTTAATATAAAGAAATTATGATCTTAATAAAATTTTAGAATTAATTATTAATTAAATATTAATTTTATTAATATATATTTATTATTTGACCAAATTTAATAATTATTACATCATTATCCCACATATTTAATTCATCATATTTTTTTAACATAAATTAATTAATCATTATATAAATATATAATATATATTAATTAATCATATAATATTATATATAAATTTAAACTTTTCACATCTATGGATTACGGTTCGCTTAGTACTCAGTAGCGACATGGCTTCAGCCCGTCCTTTTTCGTTCCACAATTTTGACTTGTTCATACCCATTTTTTATTATTCACAGTTTCCTAAAATACACTTCTATCTCTACCCAAGAATTTTCTTAATTCTTATGGTGTTGGCAACCCAAAATGAAATAAATATAATATTTTTTTGAAAAGAGTTGTTATCAAGTTTCTTGTCCCTAACAATATATGCATTCAATCTAAATGAATGTTGTCAATATCAATGGGGGAAATTATATTATATTTTTCTTCCCTCAATGAAATTGATGCATCTTATTCCTCATTGGCTTTTTTAGTTGTAGTAAATTATTTTATTTTCAATGAAAAAAAAGTGATGCAACCATTGTGCGGATTTGATGTACACCTGCGCCTTACAAAATAATTTTTCTCTATATAAGTATTCATAATTTTTTTTTTGCTTTTTATTTTTTCTTCAATTTATTTAAGTTGTATTGATGAGTATGCTAATTAATTTAATGTAATTCATTCTTATATTTTATTTTAATAAATTAGTTTATTAGTATATATTTATATTATTGATTGTACAAAAGCTTACTTGCAAGATATATATTTTCTTAATTAATTTGTGTAAAATAACTAGATATCAATTCAAAATTTATTCAATTAAAAGTTTATTTAGATTTTTTTTTGTAAAATTATTAATTAAAACCTTTATATAAAAGCCTAAATACTTATTCAAATTTTTAATTTGTTTATTAGATTATTTAAATACTTGTTCCATTAACATAAATAAATCAAGCTCAAGTATTTAAAACTTTAAACAAGTCAATAATAAACAATTATGTGTAAGCTCAGCTCAAACTCTAGCCAAACATAACTTATAATATTATCAAGCCATGTTCAATCTAAGATATACTCGATTATACCCAACTTGATGACAAACTTAAAGTGATATCCTATACCTATAAAGAAAATTACTCACTTCAATGAATGTCATTTTTTAAGAAACACGGCTTCAATTAAACTAATCAATGGAAAAATCCTCAAACTGATGATACTTTTCATCTTGACATTTTAGTAACCAAGAATCTTATAAATACAAGCCTTATACCAATAGTATCCCTTTAGGTCTATACAAAAAGGAATCTGCACAACCAAGATCTATAATAAGTCCAAAACTCAAAAAAGTTAACAAGTAACACTACTAGGTCTACCATCGCTCATTTTTATTCTATCTCTTACACCTTATTTCATAAATTATTTTTCCTCTCATAAAACATTTCTGACCAACATCAAAAATAATTTTATTTCTGTTTCATAAACTATATTTGAAGCACTTGAAAATGAAATTGGAAAGCCATGAGAGAAAAGATAAATATCTTTAAAAAATCATCCATGAGAGATTGTTAATTTTCTAGAAGGAATAAAATAGAGAAATGTACATGAATTTTCACGATAAAATACAACGTAGGTGGGGGCCTCAAATGGTATAAAACAAGATTGATAAAAAAATAATATATTAAATCATAAAATATTAATTATTAAGAAAATTTCCCTCCAGTTGACAAAAGAAATATATGATGTAAAAAAAAACTTTCTTATATAGGGATGTTTAAGAAGAAGTCTAAATCTTATTAGGATTCAATAGCTTTTTCAAAAGGAATTACACACGCAGATTGAAAATTGTCCTACATACAATCACAAAGAGCTTGTTTTAATAAATTTACAAAAGCTATGGATGGAGCTGGATATAAATAAAATCAAAGATACAAGATATGATGATTGTAAAATCAGCATATATAAATGATTGAGATTTTACAATCAGGAGATTGCTTTATGAAAGAAGCTCTCTGAAAAAAAAAAAATACAGAAGAATTTGAATCAAGGAGTTATGAAAACTCAAATACTGCTTGAGAATAAAAGTGGCTTGAAATCAAGGAGTTATGAAAGCTCACATACTTCTTGAGAATAAAAGTGGCTCAATCAAAATAAGAAATATTTCTCTCTTAATAGAAATATGTTATAGACTTGTTGAAGGAGACTAAAATGAAGTGCAATCATATGAAACTCCAACTGAACCAAGGTAGAAATTGAAACTTCACAAAAATGGAACTGACATAGATAAAGGAAAATATAAATAATTTATAGGAAAACTAATCTATTTATCCCACATTCGTCCTAATATTGAGTTCGAAATAAGTTTGTTAGTCAATTCATGTATAAACCTAAAGAGTCACATCTTCAAACCGCCTATAGAATTCTCAGATTCTCAAATCGAGCCTAGAGAAAGGATATTTATAAAAAGTACACGATTCCCTGCAAATTGAAAAAAAATATATAGATGCGGATTATGTTAGATCGCTCATGAATAAAGGATCTATTTTAGGTTATTGTTGATTTTTAGGAGAAAATCTCTAGCTTGAAAAAGCAAGAAAATTTTGTGATTTCAAGATCCAGTGTTGAAGTCATTTTTAACCATTTCTCAAGAAATTTATGTTTCTATGGAGCAAAATCATAGTAGAGAATTTAAAAATCATGTAGAAAGAGCAAATGAAAAAATAATGTGATAGCAAATCAGCAATCATTACTGCACACAATGTTGTACAACATGATCAAACCAAGAACGTTGATTTTGATAGACACTTTATAAAAGAAAATTTTGAAAATGGTTTGATTATCTGATTGGTATGTTGTATGTGCCAACAGGGAACATATTTACTAAATGAATTTGCAACCTAGCATATAAAAATATCATTGGCAAACTTAGAATGACAGATCTCTATATTCAATTTGACAGGGAATATTAAAATTTTGCCACTCCAGTTATAAAAAAGAACTTGAGCCGCAGGTACCAAGACTTCATATCATTGGATTTGATTCTCTATAGCCTTCGGATTATGATTCATGTACTTTTCTATGGGATCACTTGCCCCTAATTATTTTTCCCTCCTTTTTGATTTATTCATATTTTGTCATGTTTTCCCATTTCGTATAAAGAATGTCAAAAGATTCTTGAGAGTTTTTATCATTATTTTTTCTTCAAATAGCAATGCTAATGCAGTCAATATCATAAAGACGGCGTGTATAGTTCGGTCATGTAATTTATTTATTTTACTATTTTTTTCAGAAAAAGCATGTGGAAAAAATCCATTATCATCTCAAATAGGTGTTAAACTTATCAACATTCAACCAGTGCATTAATTCAGCATGAGTAATTTAAAAAAAAAATAAAAAGAGGAAAAAAAGTAAGCTAAAAAGAAAGAATTTAAAGAATTGAACATAGAATTCAGTATAAAGACCCATGTTTGGTAGTGAGCATAAACAGAAGTGCTAGATTGTCTCACGGTTCACATGGTAGTTTGGAGTTAGAAAATAAATTTTGAAAAAAAAAATGATTTTATTTGATTGGTTGTAGTTAGCAATTAATACTGATTTTTAACTCAATGAACACAATCAAAAACTCTAAAAAATGAAAATTTCTATTTCAAACTAAAAATAAATAAAAATTACATCATCACATTGTAAACATCTTTTCATCCATGAACACAGTCAAAATAAAACTCTAGCATAATCAATCAATGCTGCATCTTGAAGAAAGAAACCAAAAGTTACTACTTTACCTGACCCAACAATTTCGGCAGACATCAGGATCACATTCACGACCAGCAGCAAAACAAGGACACTGTCGGCTTCTACATTGGCTCTTCGCACAGTGGCATCCTCTAAAGCGATTTTTGCAGCTCTTAGAACACCTGAGAAATTAGACGAATATTGCATGAACTCTAAGCAGCATACTCAAAAAATAAAAAATAAAAAACAACCATGTTTCACCTATAAATATTTAGCTAGAACACAAAGCAGATGTACATAACGAGAATATTCTTTCTCTTGTTAATCATAATATGAAACATAAATCTAAAGTGAATTAAAAAACTAGTATTGCATATAAATTATGCTTTGGCACATACCCGCAGTACTTTTCACAGCAGGTTCCATTTTCCATACAAGAGCATTGCTTCCCACACATTTGCTGGCAACCACAGGGTGTAAATTGTTTACATGGTTGCTGCTTCCCATCACCTATTCTTTTCCGAATTGATGGATGGCCAGTAGTTTTCCATGTATATTTCAGCTTCCTAGCTCTGCCCCTCTTACGCCAGATCTTTGTCCTAGCTGGCATATCATGCTCCTATCAAAAAAAAAAGAAAAAAATCCAATAACAAGAAAAGAATCAACTCATACACGACTATTTCATGATCAGAAAATTTAAAAGAAAACAAAGTTTTTTTGATAAATTGAATCAGATGCTAAAGGTTGAAGATAAGGGTACATTTTGCATGCCCTCTGTAAAATTAGAAACTCTATGTTTACAGCTCAAATTGAATTATGTAAAACACAACAAATTAACTGCCATAATATTGGATGTATCGACTTATCAACAATTTTCTGTAGTGGCCAATATGCACCTTGATGTAAAAGAAAAGCAGTTAGTATTGTGACAAAATAAATATCTGAAAAAGTATAATTACGTGTAAGCTTTTTGCCTTGCAACTGATATGCAGACGCACAAATGGCCACTCACTTTCAAAAAAAAAAAAAAAAAAAAAAAAAAAAAAGCTAGCATGACCATAAGAATTTCTCACGTAATATTTACCTTGCATTTTGAACGGCAGAGCTTGCTTCACATAAGCAGGAATTGACATGGACTAAAATTTGTTATTTGATAAATATTTTTTAAACTCATATTCTTCGTTAACTAATAGCTGCATATACCTAATTCTTCCAGTCAAGCAAGCTCTTAAGTTGCATGTATTAAATAAATAAAGGGCTCAGCAGTTTGCAATTATGATTTTAGACTTTAAGAAAATAGTGATAAAAATAATAATAAAGAATTATAACGCACTGTTACAGCATGATCACATCTTCCACTATCTTCCATGCACGAACTACTTGATAAAGGTCTGGTCTGCAATGATGCCCCATCATTGAACATGTATTTTGACACCTCAATGCATGTCTTTAGTCCCGAAAGTAGGTTTCTTGCGATAAGGCAACTGCAGAGTCAAAAAGCAAGGGGAAAAAAAAAGAATGAGCTGTGTCGATGTCCGCATGAGTATACCAACAAATAATAGCAACAATGTGATCGGCAAACAATTTCAAAACTATAATTCAATTATCATTCATGGAGTTATACAGATCATTTCAATTCAGTTCCAATCCCTCATATTGCTTTCGTACAACAATCTATACGAGTCAAACCAGCTTTAATTTCAAAAACGTAACTAACTTTAAAGCATTTGTACTGAATGATCTAAAAATTAGCTAAATGCTTTTCTTTCTTGGAGAAATTATAGAATATTTACTATAAAAGCATATGAGAGAAACCGTTCACTGCACGGATATTTGTGTCATCCACTTCAAAGATACCGCCAAACATTAATATAAGAGAATTGTTTAAAAATTGATATAGATTTGTTAAAATAATTGTTTAACTGTGATAGCAACCAACATGATACTCATAGATAGAAATGAAGCACCTGTTCTTCCCAAATATTTCTATGCCCTTTAGATAAAGATCTTTCTCAATTACACTCCAACCACAGGTCTGCTCCCTGCTGAAACTGGAAAAGCTCTTTGAAAGGGAAACTTCAGTCTTCCTATTTACTTCTGAGTCCTTAATGTTGGTACCATATTCATTACCATGATCATCTTTAGTTAGAGATAGATATTCATTAGATTCGTGTTGAAGCAGCTCATAATTTGCAGCCCCGCCTTGGCATTTGGTATCAGTACGTGAGGTGATATTTGTATGTAACATATCTATCTCTCTACTCGGTGGAGAAAAATCTGATTCTGATATCTTTTTCTGCTTTTTATCAACAGGACCATCATGTTTTCCAGAAGTTTGAGGTTTTTCCAATGCCATATTCTCCTGTTTCAAGTTCTTTCGCTTACCTACATTAACTAAAGCTTTTAAAGGAAAATCAGGGACATTTTCTCTATTGCACAAACAGTATGATGCGTTTTATTACCAACTGACTCTGAAGAAACAATGGCCAATCTATTGACATCAGAGCATAGCCCAGTAGATGGTGTTATATTTGTGATATCATCATCCGGATTTGAATCTTCGGATTCAGAGGGTGAAGCAGATTCCATTTTCTTAATTTGCTTCGAGTCCTTTTCAATAGGAAATGGAACTTCCTCCTTTTCTCCTTTCTGCAAATTGTTAGAGAATAAATTAGCAACCGAATTTAGTACGAGACCATGAACTCTTCATATAAGCAAAAGAACAATTCATGGATGAGCCCATATAGCCAGACAAACCACTGCTATTCATTTGATATGATACACTATAAGAAATTAATTAACTTCATTATCATCATCATTATTAGCCTCATCCATCTATTCCAGGTTGGCTTGATGAATCCTCATTCTCTATTAAAATTGTTCCTAGAAAGCTATAAAATTTGATTTTGCGCAAATCATTCTGCATAACATACACCCATGATATATTCAGCCTTACTATTTTTCTTCCTTATTCTTTAATATTTATTATATATAACTAACTTATCCCTGCATTTCTTGAACTTCAATATACATGCCTAAACCACATCAATTTATTACCTTATCATGCGGCTCTCATGTCCCTCCAATATAATCTGCTCTCATCCCTATAGCTATTTCACGCATTCATTTTAACATTTTTATTGCTACCATACTCAGCATGGCTAACCATAACTTCTGCCTAAAGCTCAAGTTCCTATTAGACAACAAGCAAAATTACAATTAATTTTTTATTATTATTATTATTACTATTCTCTTTTTGTCACCATGAAATTTTCTTTGGAATGGCTTGTTTCAGTTCAATTGCTTGGAAGTGGTTAGAATAGAGACCTATAAGTTAGTTTCAAAGATATTCATTTGTTTTGCAAGAAACCACTTTTCTTGTGAATTTAGTTTATTTCAATTTTGCCAATCAAGTCATTAATTTTACATTATTTTTATAATATTAATAATAAAGGTAATATTTCAACCATCTTTATTTTTATATTATTTATTGGTATTTGATAAAAAAAAAACAAACTGGATGTGAATCCCAAGCTCTACTAAATGAAACTTCTCACCTTTATGAAGGTAAGCGTAAGAAATAAGAAATCACTTTCATTCATTTTCTACGAGAATTCATATTTGAAACCCAGTTAAATTACTTCCAAACATCAGCGAAAAGAACTCACACTTATGAATAATAACAATCAAACGCACAATATACTCAAAGGCACATCATTTAACCATATAGGCATAAATTTCGAAGGTATGTCCTTACCTATGTTAAATACTTTTGCAAAATTGATTCAAGATACTTAAACCAACCAAGCCATAAGCCATTACTTTATTCTAATAATATTGACTAATGATTATTGATAGAAAACATAAATAAAAATTGCATATCATATTCTCAATCTTTCTTTTACTAATTATATGATCCTCGTCTTCTAAATATTTCATCGATGATCAAAATTTTCACTTATTTCAATAAAATCCATAAACTAAACCTATGCCATCAATAAAAAACAAGCATCAAATAAACTCAATTAGAGTATCCTTTCTAGGCCTTTTCTCAACCATTATTAAAGATATCGGCATAATAGACATTGGAGCCCAACAAGGAGGACGCAGGAGATGGGAGTTCTATCCCATGTATTTGGAGCAAAGCAGGAAGCAGAGATGGCTTGAACCGATTTAGCCCAAGCACTGGGAGAGCCAGTCGGCTATTCTAAATGAGAGAACCGCCTCTTTCAAGTAGAGGGGCTCACGCCTCGTTATCCTATTAATATCTATATTTGTATTCATGATATTTTAGGTTAGTTTTTCGTGAGTTTTTTTTTAGGACAGGTATCAGTGTATGTTCTTCTCGCTTCGAAGGTTGTATCCAAGAGATTGGGTGGTGTCCCAGCTGTCCCTCTTCAGAGGCAGAGGTTATCATCTATATCCCCTTCCACATCTTCTTCACGATGCTCCCGGCCAACCTCCATCGTTGAATCCCCGTCGAACAACACTCGTTTGACGTTTTCACCGCAGTCTTCCCATTCCAGCCCTTCTTGCTCGCTTCCACCATCCCGAACAGCCTCGTCTTGTTGTCCTGTTGTCCCCAGCTTCACCCTTCCGTTGTCAACATCCAGAAAACAACAAACCCACAATATTTCTGCTATCCCCTAGTTGTTCCAGCTTTTCACTTCACGCCTCCCCGCTCTAGTTGACACCCCACTTGCTGCCCTCATTGTTTCAGTCCTCCGCTTCACTGCCAACGTGATTCCAACCCCTCCTTTTGTCGTTTGAACCACTCCCAACCCATTTCAGCCACCTGAGATTGAGTCCTTGTACCACTATGTCCTTAGAAGTCCCACCACAAAGTCCATGCTAACGTCCACCCATGATACATCTGGTACTGGTAATAAGGTATATGCCTACATTTTGCCCCCAAGTTTTGGCTACATGGCAAATCCAGCATTGTCTGATGCGTCGCTCTACATCTCTCACTAATCGAGGTCAAAAGAAGTGTTCTCCCACGGGTGTGAGAGCCTTTTCCCTGCCCAAATGCCTGGTAAATCCTCCACTGATGCTTTCCTGAACATTTGGATTCCCTCAACGAAAATCTAGGAATGCACAGCTTACCCTGGTAGAACAAGTATCCATCAGCTCTGTAATATTACCCGATAGGCTTATCCTGACACTTCTTCTAGATTTTCCCAAAATCCTTGTTTGTCTAGTAAAGTTCCTATACTACCTCAAACCCATGAGGCGAGCCTACATCGCAGTGATCAGCAAGTAACGGAAGCTCAACGCATCTACTACAGGCTTTTGACTCCCTGCCTTTTGCTTAAGCACAAATTAGAACAATGTCAAGAACTCCGCCCAAGTTGTGTGTTGGCTCTTCAATTTACTCTATTTGTTCAAGAATTTCAAGGCTTCGTGCCCCGTGAATAGCAAGAACTCACTTTCTGCAGGTAATGGCTCCAGTGCTCAAGAGCTCGCACAATAGCATAAAACTCATTGTCGTAGATCAAGTACTTCCTTTGGAATCATTCAATTTCTCACCAAAAAAAGAAATGGGGTGACCGCTCTAGCTCAACACAGTTGTTATCCCCATGTCGGATGTTTCACGCTCTACCTTGAACAGCTAGTGGAAGTCCGGTGGTGCCAAGATTGGTGCTTGGGTCACCTTCTCCTTGAGCACATTGAAACCATTCTGAGTTACCTTTGTCCACTGGAATTTATCTCTCTTAAAAAGATCTGTTGGTGGGGCGGTGATGGTACTGAAGCTCCTAATGAATCACCTATAAAAAGGCGCCAGTCCCATAAAGTACCTGAGCTCGGTGAACAAATGTGGTGCAATCCAACTCACAATGGCCTTAATTTTCGTCGGATCAATCTGAATGTTTGTACTAGACACGATATAACTCAAACAGTATACCTACACTGTCATGAAGTGACACTTCTTTAGATAGGCATATAATTTCTCTAGGCAATACCTCGAACACTGCCCTCATTTGTTGTAAGGATTCCTCCTCAGATCGGTTATACACTAGAATGTCATCAAAATAGACCAAAATTTCCCAATGTGAACCCGGAATACCTAATTCATCAACCTCATAAAAATATTGTGCACGTCAAGCTGAAGGGCATAACAGTCCACTCGTATAAACCATCTCGTGTCTTGAATGTGATCTTCCACTCTTCTCCTAGTCTCATCTGGATCTTTTGAAACCAACTGCATAAATCGACCTTGAAAAAGATGGTGGCTTCGTGCAACTGGTCCAAGAGATCTTCCAGGTGAGGTATTAAAAATCCGTACTTGATGGTAATCTTGTTGATGGACCTACTATCAATGCTCATTAATCATGAACCGTCCTTATAAGGTAACATTAGGATGGGGACAACACATAGGCTCTCTGACCAACCCTCTTCAATGAGATCCTCTACCTGTCGCTGCAACTCCTCGTACTCCACAGGTTTCAATCTGTAGGTCAGGTCGATTCGATAATACTGATCCTAGTATGAGATCTATGGTGTGTTGAATGTCCCTCAGTGGTGTTAGTCCCCCTGGAAGATTGTTGATCATCACATCCTGGAAGTCCTGCTGTAGCGGCCATCATGGTGTCGATATCTCATTCTCCTTAGTTCCCTCTAGTAGGACTAATGTCAGTGCCACAGAAGCATCCAAAATTGACTAAATGAAAGTGGCCCTTGAAACTAACGCCACCACTGTGTTATACACCTCATTATCTTTACCTGTAGTTTCCAGCATGTATCTTTGTGGTGACATAATTAGGGTTTGGGTTTGGAAGGAGTGGTTGAGAATAAAAAAAATGATCGAAGGGTAAGGTGGATGCTAGGAAAACCTAAAATAGAATTAGGATCAGGCTAGCTTTGATATCAAATGATATCGAAATTAGCTCAACAACAAATCAGACACAAATACTATTGCTAAAAAAAATCATATTACAATCAAAAATCAAAAGGGGCTAGAAAACACAATAACAGCAATATCCAACTTAGGCCGAGCAGGAAGATCTAGGGATAGCGGTGATTTTGGTGTTGTGGTTGAGGGATGAAGTGAGAGAGGGTAAGGTTTAGACAGCTGGAAGAGGAAGGAAAGTTGTGGGTGCCTGATGTCTGGGACGGGGAAAGAGGGGCCCAAGGAGTGAGCGACTCGCTTCTAGGTTAGAAAATAGGATGAAAAGGGGGTGACGGCTAGGTCAGGAAACAGGGAAGAAGTGGGCAGTGGTTGGGTTAGGAAACAGAGGAGAAATGACCGGCGACAAGAGGCAAGGAGAAAGGAAATGGAGGAGTTAAAGAGATAAACACCATCTTGAAGCAGGATACAACCGGAGCACCACCTATCTCGAATACAACCCTAGCAAGGGAAGATGCATGTAGAAATCTAAAAGCCAAAAACAAGAATAACCATATTTTAGCAAAGAAAAAAATATATAATAGATAGATGGGAGGGAATGGGAAGAGGACGGTAATTCCTGCTCACGGTTGGTCGACGGGCCCAGCAGGAGGGAGTCGAGGAGATAAAAACCATCTCGGAGCATGATACAATCATAGCACCACCTGTCTCAGATACAGACCTAGCAAGGGAAGATGCCTGCATGAAGAAATCTAAAACCCAAAAATAAGAATAACTCTAAATCAGCAAACACACACAAATATAGTAGACAGATAGGAGTGGGGGAGGGGGGCGCTGCAATTCCGTCCCAAGGATGGTCTAGCTCCCCATGCATGCCCCACATCTCAATATATAAGTGTTATATACTTCAACAAACATAGGATGATATTCATGAAATAATATTGCACAAATTAACTCATACAAGCTGAGTATATCCAGGAAATTTTACCTGCAACAACAGCAATAACAAAAAGCCTTTATCGCACAAAGTGTGGTCGGCTAAATGAATCCTTTCTTCCCCATTGCATTCATATTTTCATTTAATTCTAATAAAATAAGATCATTTTTTATACAATATGCCCAAGTCATTCTAGGTCTACATCTGCCAACTTTAACATAAGTCAAATCTAGAACATTAACTCTCCTAACCAGATCATCAGATAGTCGTTTAATCTGACCAAACCATCTAAGACTACTCTCTAATTTTGTCCACCACTAGAGCTACACAAACCTTATCACAGATATATTCATTTTGTATTTTGTCACTAAGTGTCAAGCCACTCGTCCACCTAAGCATTCTCATCTCGGCAACACTTAACTTTGTTTTATGTTTCTCTTTTAAAGGCCAACATTCTATGCCATAGAGCATTACAGATCTCCATTACATATCTCATCACCATCTCATAAAATTTTCCGTTTAGTCTAAGTGGCACATTTCTAGCACACAATAGAAAATTTTATATGCGCCGAATGTAAATTTGAACATAAGAAAAAGAAATGCTCTGCATCACTCATAGTTAAACATAAAAGCCATACTCTGAGATAGCAATGTTTACTGCAGGGTTTCCCACTTTCTTCCGGATCAGATCCATATGGCTGTTTTTCACTCTGTCAAAGAAAAGGACACAATTAAAACAGCAAACACTTCATCAGTATTATAAATAACAATCATCGAATGACCAACTCACTGCAGTGATAAGATTTTGAGAACAACCATGGAGACGGCAGTCAAATATCTGTTGAAAAAATATTACTAGTGATGAGTAAAATCATAAAAACAATAAAATCATAGCACCATCCTTCTAAAGAAAGATTAGAATAAACAAAAGAAAAGTACCAAACATCGTCGACAGAATAGATTATCAAAGGAATCCAAAGCAGCGTTAAGAGTCTTATCAAGAAGTGATTTAGGCTCGAACTCACTTGAAACATCAGCCTTCCTCTCATTATTTTTATTGTACTTTTCTAAGAGAGCCTTGTATCTTTCCTGCATATAAATAGGGGGATATGATACGTAAGGTGAGTGGGTGAAAAATACAATATTTGAACTACTGATAGGCATGCTAATGCAAATTTAAGATTAGAAACCCTTCACCACTTCTAAACTGGATTTGGACTACGCTATCAGTTAATTGTCAGGATAATTGCATTGGTAATGGTTGATCATGTGCAATATAAAATTTATTTTCTTTTAAGGAAAATTTGGTTACCTGGATTTCCTCAGGGAAGGCTTCAATGGAGTGACAAAGGATGTGCATGACTTCTTGATTTAAACCAAATTCCTCAATTGCCTTCCTGCAAATATGATAATGTCAAATAACACTTTATGTTTTCATTAGAAAGTTAAAAAATAAGAACAGAGATAACTGGTGATACTGATTACCCCGGAATAGCAAACATCGAGATGAGCAATCATGCTCAAGAAAAAAGCAACTACAAAGAATATAATTTTGAGCTCAAGAAAAAAGCAACTACAAAGAATATAATTTTCTCCTTATAAAAAAAAAACTACCATTTGACTGATGCTCCTATAGATGATGATGTAAGACTTCGTAGAATCTAGGACATCTCTTACGCAAATCTAGAATAATATGGTCTAAAACTCCATACATGATCAAGTTTGGACTATAGCAGGGGACATTTGGTTGCAAGCATTCATATGAAAAATCATACTTAAGTGAATGCAGTGCACTCTTATTTCTCAAAATTGTTTGGCTATCTATAAAGTAAATGAAGGAAAAAAATTTTCCCATTTGAGTAGGTATAAAATTTAGGGTGATTTACTCTACTAAAATGTAATGATAAGCTTAACTCCTATTTTTATTTTAATTTAAGCTCTGTAGCTTTGCAACAATTAGACAATACCAATCTTCAAGTACAGGGAACAAGTATAGTTATTTCCGATTCAAGGAACTTGTTAAATTCATAAAATTGATGATCAAAGAAGCTAGTTTGATTGAATCAAAAAGGAAATCTAGCTAGAACATCATGAATTATCAACTCTGATGATAGAATCCTCAAAGCAGATATACAAAATAATTACTTCGATAAATTAGCTAACGTTTCCTATAAAAATAGGAAAATGAAAAGCTCAGAATACGCAGGGAGATGAATGGAAAGAGAAATTGAAGAAGGTGCCAGAAAGTGTAACCTGTGCCTAGGGCAGCATATCTTGTGTAGCTCCTTGGTGTTCGAGAGTGCAGGATTATCCTTAAATTCAAAAGGGTTTTGCTCAATCCTATGGTATATCGGATGAAAGTGGAAGGATATTTAGTAGGATTATGGCTGCAAATGACTATGGGTCTTTAGTCTATAATATTTTAGGATGTGATCTAGAGTTTAGAGGGATTTGAATAAGTAACATCAAGACTAATCCAGAATACACTAATTTATGTCGATTTAGAAGATCACTTTAAGAAATAGATTTTAAATGGTGTAAATAGCTAAAATTTATTAAAGATGACTATCTTAGAATATTAACTCTTAGAATATTAACTTGTGACCTAAAGTAAATGATAAAAAAAGTCAAGCCTTTAAAGGGGTATGGTGAAAAGAAGATCAAAAATAGCCCAAATTAGACTAATTGCAGCTGATTTGAAATCCCTTTTCGGAAATGAGTTTTAAGTGGTAAATGGCATAAACGGGAAGAAATGATGCGATTTCATGATCTGAACTTATGGAGTAGTTGGTGGGCTTTTGTGGGGTTCAAGGCCTTGAGGTGTTTCGAGAAACAAGACTAGGTACTTGTCAACCCAAGATTGCCAAAAAGTTAAAAGGAAGGTTTTGGAGTTGATTTGAAGGCTGCAGAGGCTGATGGCTGGGTGTATATGTTGGTTGCGATGTAGACAGAAGTGCGAGGGTGAATGAAAAATAGTATGAAAAAATGTTAGAAAATACATACAAGATAAACAACCCATTGATATAATTCGGCGTAGAAATCCACATAGATTTTCGTAAAAATTAGGGATAACAAAAATTCTTATTGCAATAATCCAAACAACTCATAAAATACAAAAGATGAGCACCTACAATTTGAGAGGTAGGTGGTCACTCCCAATTCCTACAATTTGAGAGGTAGGCAATCTCTCTCAAACCATAAAACTACGACTCACAACTCTATCACAAGCATACTTTTACCAAACAATAATAATAATAAGAAAGGACTAAATTGCCTTCACGAGTACAAAAGACAAGTTTGCCCTTAGGTTAGGCGCCCTCATAACAATATTTTCACCCATTTCATCATTATCTGCATTCTCGTACTACACTATGAGAACATGTAATCTTCGATCCTTGGAACGATGTCCTTGAGTAAACTTCTCATCACATAAAAAACATAACTCCTTGGCTCACTTCTCCCGAATATGTCGTTATAAGTTGCTTAAGTGTTTCTCTTGATCGTAGTTCATTATTCTTGTCTCATGCAGCCTCCCTTTGGACTTCCATTGTTTGAACTTCTGGCATTATCAAGGTTGCAGTAATTCCGTACAACGCTCCATTTGTCTTGCTCTGGTTGGCTTTGTTCATCTGGTTCTTGTCTTCCACCATCTGGGCTAGCTCCATCATCTCCCGTAATCCCCATGTTCTTAGTAGTCGAAATGCTACCCGAATGTCGGGCTTTAAATCCTTCATGAAACTGTATTCCAGTCTTGCTTCAGAAATCCCTCATAGTCCTCCCGACAATAGTTCAAATCTCTCTCTATATTTCATGATCGTCCCCTCCTGAGACAAGGCATAGAATTTCTCATGTAGGTCTCTTTTCCAAATAGCTCAGAAATGTTCCAGCAAACAATCCTTAAATACATCCCACGAAAGGATCGGGTATCTAGCCTTCCTCCACTGAAACCAGGTTAAGGCTTTCCCCTCCAAACACAATCCTATCGCCATGAGTTTCTCCTCCCCATCTAACCCATTCAACGTGAAGTATAGCTCTGTCTGACACACCCATTCATGTGCGTCTTCCCTCTAAAAGATCGGTCTCTTCAACTTCCTAGCTCTAACATCTCCACCTCAACTTCCACTTCCTTCGTTGTATTCCCCCATGTATCAAGAGTAAAACGTCTTCCTTCGATCATAGTCATATCCCCTCCTTACTTCTCTCCCTTCTTCGTGCTCCGTCATACCTCTGGCATAATCCCCTTTACATGTTTCGGCCCAACAACCTTCAACAAAAATTTTTAATTCACCCCTAATCGAAGCCCTGAGAGGAGGTTAGTGATGGTGGATGTTTTCCTCCTCATGTTCCTCACATTCAATCTCTTTTCCTTTAGATCTTGTCACAGATGCTCCAGTCAACCTTTGGTTAGGGTTTACAAAATGAACTGTCGGCGGGTTCTTGGATTGCATCACAATGAGCCTATTTAGCAACTCTTGAATTTCTCCTATGCTCTCGAATCGATCCTCCAGTCGGCAAAAGAAGAGAACATCTCCTCTATGTTGGCAAACTGTTCTTCCATCACAAATTTAATTTGACTCATCTCTTCCTACAATTTCTTCTCCATATCATCTACTTTTTTTTTGTTGTCATTGCGATATAGGAGCATAGATTGGCGCAAACCCAAAATATGGGATCTTCAGGTCTCTGTCCGCCGCGATCCCTCGCGGCTTTTTCAAGATATGCCAAGATCCCTTTGTTGCTTTCCCTGCAAACACGATGAGAAAAGCTGTGGCTCGTCACTGTGAGCCGCGATCCCATAGTAGCCCTAATGGCGACTGCTTCACGTGAGTGCGGAGCGGAAAGTGGTGAGTTTCGGGTCTTGGTAAGTGTCGATCCTCCCGTTGCCTTCCCAGTCAGATTTGATCGCGACTATAATGCATAACTGTATCGAGTAGATGGCACGGCTGTATCGTGCAGATGTAAGCCTCGATCTCGTCAGTCCAACTAACAGGAAATGCAATCTAGCTTGCCTCGGGCGATCCGATCTCGATACAACACAATCCTTCTCATCTTCTCTCTTCTCGTAGGGATCTATCACTAAGACTGGTGATCTACCAAATTGATACGATTTGAAGTAGAAATCCACATAGATTTTCATAGAAATTAGATCAAACAGAAATTCTTAGTGCAATAATTCAAGTAAATCAATACAAAATAAAAGCTACGATTCGAGAGGTAGGCGGTCTCTCCCAATTCCTACAATTCAAAAGGTAAGAAACCTCTCCCAAACCCTAAACCTAAGACTCACAACTCATTCTCGTTTAAAACCTAACCCTAGATATAATAGCATATTTATACCTAATAATAATTAAAATAATAATAATAATAATAAGCAAAGACAAAATGCCCTTAAGCGTACAAAAGACAAGTTTGCCCTTAGGCTAGGTGCTCTCGTAACACCCATCTCACTAAGGAAAGGTAAAGTTAAGTGAACTAGTACTAACAAAAGTTTGGGCCATTCGCATAGATGCCACATAATTCTTATATATTTTCATAACTAATACATTAAGAAGTGAGACACACATAGCTTTATGACATCAAAGTGTCATAAATGTAAATATGAAAGTTTAGGTGTTAGATATGTCAATATTTAAAACTTATCTAGTATACGTGTAAATTTAAGAAAAAAAAATGAAGGAATTGTATCATTCTATAATTGATTTCATCAGATAGTAACCCTATTTATAGATATTATATTGAACCACAAGCTATCATCATTCAACAAGAAACAAATTTTGGAGGGAGGAAAAGAATCGTATCGTCATTAACAAAAATTCCATTAATTCATTTTATCTTCTAATATTTATTAAGTGGTCGACCAAAACATATTCCCTAAGTTCAAAAGTCAAATTTATATAAAAATAAAAATTCCATTAATTCTTCTAGGGTACTCTTAGGATGGCCATTGATTAGATGCTTGCTTGCGTACTTTATTAGACTCTTATGATTAAACATTTAGCTTCATTTGATTGATCCGCGTGATGTGTAAAGCTGTGAATTTAGCTCGAAGATTGTTAACTGCTCAAAAATTGTTTTGAATTTTGGCTCGAATCTAGATTAGATCAAGATAAATGAGCCAAGCTATGGGCCGAAAACATGGATCAATTTTTTTTTAGTTAAATTCAAGTCATACATGGATCAGCTCAAAGTACTTTTTATTTATAAAAATTATATACATAATGCTAAATAAAATTGAATATAACAAGTCGTGAGCCGATTTCCAGGTGTAACGGATCCAAATAACACAACTTGAGCTCGCTCTTTTCGAATTTGAGCTAGATCAAACTGATTTCAAGCTGAAATGGATCCAAATAACTCAATTTGAACCAGCTTATTTCGATTTCGAAACTGGTTGAGC